ACGACAGCCCTGATAAATGACTATCAGCCATATACATATATACATACATATACATCCACAAACAGCCCAGAACAAGGCCTTAAGCGTCGCTGTATTTGTAAAGTCGATGTTCTTCTCTCCTCCCCATTTCTGCCTACCATGTGTACATGGACAACATAAATATACATACTCCCCGTAAAAGAGCGCCCGTGTTTTAAATCTATATAGCGCCCCCGCCACACACGTATATATATATGTATACATATATATGTGCGTGTACGATAACTTATACGTTTTTACGTTGAGCGACGCGCGTAACAAGCTCGCGGTTAGCGCTCTCTCTCTGCTCGGCTCCTCGCAATCGAGGAGCAGCAGCAACCGGTGGGTGGACATATATACTCGAGCGACGCGCCGCTACCAAAGAAGGACAAGCCGGTTACTTTTAATCTCTCTCTCTCTCTCTCTCTTTATATACGTATACGTATATACATATATCTCGAGCGTGCCATCGGGAGCTGAAGCCTTTATACGTGTGCGGTCTCTTTTTTTTTTTTCTTCCTCCGCTCCTCGTGCACGTATGCCCTTTAACGCAAAATAAATGAAGCGGCTTTCTCGTCGTCGTCGGTGCCGCTATATACCCGTCTGCCGGCGAGGCCTCTTGCCCGAACAATGGACTCTTGATGGTGGGATGTAACGAGCTTGCGAAAAAGTTCCGATCTCTTGGGGGAACTTAATTAGGAGAGCAGCCGGCCCGCGATCGATACTTTTTTACAATTACGCAAAGGAATTATTAATTATGGCCATAGGTGGACGTGGATTGTCGAGGGCCATGTATATAGGGGTATATTTCGCGGATGGGGGAATCGGTTTGTGTTGATCGGCGCAGGAGAATTGACGTACAGTTATCTTGATTATGGAAATGGTTTTCGATTATCGGGAGTTCATTGAATATATATTACTTGGCAATTTTCTTTCTCAGAATTTTTCTGTAAAAGTTAAAAGGTTAAAGTGGTGAAATAGCTCAGTTGGAAAAAAAATATTCATGCGATGGAAAATTATTTTCGAGTTCTGAATAAAGTTAAGATGTTTCATGCGTTGGATAGTTGTAAACGAAATAAAATAGTACTTTAAAATATCTTTTACAACGGTATTGGAAATTCTTCAACAACAATGAAAAAGCTCCACTGATTTCACTCCATTATATTTAATCTAAAAATTACGAACAAATAAAGTGCCAACACGCTTGTTTAATTTTTTGCATTTGCAGATATGGCAAGATAGTTACATTAGTATTGAATTTTTTTTTTTTTTTTTTTAATAAAGTTACGACGGACTTATAGCCCAATAAATTTTTTTTACGTAGTATCCCAAGTCTATTGCATAAGGATGGATTAATCTTGCTGAAGCATCAATTTGCAATAGATGTATACTTTTTGCTTCTGTCATAGACGTCTAATTATATAACTTCTAAAGTTTTTCCATAAGTCCAACGACAACATTAATAATCATACTTTACAACGTTTTATCAACATTTGAATAGTTAATATGGCACCATCCTTGTAGCAATAGTCTTGTTGCATCGGGTGACTTTGGCTTTTCTTTTTAGTATAACCACTCCAGTTGTTTGTATTTTTTATTTTCCTTTCCCTACACCACTGACTTTTACGGGAAGTAAAAGCCACCACCTTTGTGTAGGGGGTGTTTATCCAAACCCCCACTATTCCCATTTCGTTTTATCGTCCTCGGGTATTCAAGTCTTTCGTACGTGAATCATTTACCAGTGCAAAGCTTACTATAATTACACGATTCAGTCATCCCTTCTTTTCAAAAATATTTTCGGATAAGTACGTCGATCGTCTCTTATATAACGTATCTTTCACTCGATAGTTTATCAACCCTCGTCAAAGAATACGAATGGTCATAACACCAAAATGTTCGACCACTGCAACGTATATATACTTGGATCAATATTTTTCTTCTTCTTTACTGAACAGTAAGAGAGAGAGAGAGAGAGAGAGAGAGAGAGAGAGAGAGAGAGGAAAAAAAATTGAATCAACAGCGTAGAGAGCAAAAACCGTAAAACAAGCCGTAAGCAGCAGTAAAAGGACCGAAGTGAGCATTAGACCACTAAAACGATAATCGCCGTGTCTAGCATTAGCGGCCAAAAGGAAGGAGAGAAAGAAGGGCCGGAGTAAAAGAAAACACAAGCAAGGAGCCGTGCATTAGAAAAGCCCGAGATGAGAAACAGGACGGAGAGAAGCTTTTCTCTCCGGTGGACACACGCACGTGCGCGTCAAACGCGGAGCCCGAGGCTATTTTCGTGGTCGTCATTCACACGCGCGCGCGCTCACGCATAAGTACCTATACCCGTCGCGAGTACGAGAGGCAAAGTCAACCACTCGTCTCGCAAGCTCCGAGAGGAGAAAAAAAAAAAGGTGCATTATCCCGGTGCTCCCTCGCCGCCAGACACAACACTCGCGACTCGCGGTGCATGTAATACACACCACGTACCTTTTACGTGCTTTATGGCGAATTGAATTATCTCCATGGATTCGCGGAAACGCGAGAAAGAATAGAGCCCTGAGTGATGCAAAGGACGACTTTGCTGTCGGCTAATAGTGAATTATGGCTCGCGTGTGCTCACTATAAAAAGTACAATGCGCCTCGACACTTTGGTCAAGGTTTTTTTCCCAGAGTGAGTTTTTGGGGGCTGTAGAAAAATTTTGCATCGAATACCTTATACTCATCCTAGAGACTGGAATGAAGATCAGCAGAGCTTTTCTAAAATTTTGCGCAGTCGATATCCCACGATGGATATTTGTCACGCATAGCTAATCTTTTACTCGCCGATTAGAATCGACGCGGCGCGTGAATTACGGCAATCAGCGTGTCATTGTGCCATACGAGCTCACTTCATTCCTGAATCGAATATTCGACCCATCAATCATGTACATACCCATGGTAGAGAATAAAGAAAAAAAAAAAAAAAAAAAAAGAAAAAGTACATACCCAAGAAATGCCAGAATCGCACTCGCATTTATCAACCCGCGCGTGCAACGCAAGCTCCGTGCCCACATTTCTCAGCACCTCGGGCATAATTCACACGAGGCCCGTGGTAAAAGTTACCCTGCACATATCGAATATTGACTAATCGCTCTCAGGCCACTCGTGTTCCCGGCACTCGGCTCCCCCACCCCCCACCCTCATCCCGCGCACACGCTTTCACGGTCAAGATCTCCGGGGTTCTGGCTCTCGATTGAATTCGCACACGCGCGATATATCTCGAGCTACAAATCATCGGAGATCGTACACACAGAAGGCCACAACAATAAAGTTGCCTGCAGCCTTTCTTTTCTCTTTCTCATTGTTTGTTTTCTCTCTTCCCGTGGGTGCGAGGCCCCGCGCCGTACGGTTGTTTATTTGAATACACTTTATACATGTGTGTGTCTGTGTGTGAAACACGAGATGGTGCAGTGCGAGAATGCTCGTTGGAGGTGATAAATTTCGCGATTTTTTTTTTTTTTTTTTTCGAGCTTTCGTTTCTTTGTGTGGATCGAGATGAATCTTTCGAGGCTCCGCGGAATCGAGAGGATCATGATCTGTTTGCTGAGTCGTCATTGATTGGTTATTGGAATTATAATATTAAATGGGCACATCGTATATAGCTTCTCAAGATATAGGCAGTGTTTGTTGGTGAAGTATTTCTAGAGATGATGGGTTTTAGATTTCGCAATGATTATATTATTTGCCCGATGAATAATATTTTAATATTTCACTCGACTTGCTTTAGGATCATAAATTACTATGACATTTTGTTTCGTAAAATGGTGAATGAATAATTTATACGTACATTGGCATCAATGTTTATCATAATTATTATAAGAAAACAAATAGTACAGCAAATAAATGCTGTTAAAATATTTAAAGGAGCAAATTTTTGGAGAAAATATCAGTTGTGTCTATGACAGAATTATAAAATTTACTAAAAAGTAATTAAACGTGAATCGATACAGTAATTTAACATTATTAAAAATATCACGAATAGAAAAGTTGTGTAGTTCTTCAAAGCTTACAAATATTTTAATAAATATTTTAGAGCTTGAAAACACAATCACTAGGCACACCCTAATAATCTTCGAATAGATGGAAACAAAGAAATCATGACAAAACAAACGTTGGGAAGGTTTCCAAACTTTTAAATTATTTAACGTAGTTGTTTGTCTTACTATGTTCCATACTTTTGAGCACTTGAAAAATAAATTATTCTTCATTTTATTACGGATAATCTTCTAGACCATTTATTCATTTACTATAGGTGTATTACGATTCGAGTCCCATGACGATTTCCTCATTTCATTAATGTCACAAGACATCATTTTATTAACGCTTTTTATTTATGATTTCCAAGATTTCAGTTGATTTGAAATACACTTTTTGAAGGTGGGTCGAAATAATTTGACTTCCATCTCCTCTTTTACATACCCATACGTTTGGTATATATCGGGTACTTTGGTGAGGCAAAAATTAAGAATAGGCATCGTGTAACCTGTTTTACCCATTTCGACGACGATCGGGCGTATATGGGTGGAGAGAGGCTCGATGTCGTGAATTGACGGCTCCGAGAAAACGCAATAAACTATCCGTCCACGTAATGCACGAGTGAGGACAAGATTAGACTACACGCTGGGAGCCACGAGAAATAAATGCACCCATTATTTATACGTGTTACGCAATGACTACTTTTTTTTCATTATTATACATAACACAAATAAATAAATATATACATTATACAAACAGAAGGATATTAACGACACCGCACCCATGTCACTTTGTCGTTCACACGAGCATCGAACTTGTCATTGAAATTACTTTATCTCTAACACATGTCGGACCCGCGAGCTTTTTGATCCAAGCAGTAAGACACGATTACATTAAAGCTCCCACTGTATCGAATTCAATTTATACTTGATCAAGTGCCGTAAAGGCGTATAGTATAGCTCACTGCTCGGTTTTATTTACAGGTGGCCCGTACAGCTTGAGCAAGAGCCTAAAAAACGGCGGGCTGTTTCCGTCGGTGTTCAACGTAGCTGCGAAAGCCGAGCTGCGCGTCAACGCGACTTGCGGCGAGGACGGCCCGGAGACGTACTGCAAACCCGCGGAGACGTCGCGGTGCTCCGTATGCGACTCCCGCAGTCCCGATCCCAACAAGAGGCATCACGTCAACCTCGTCCTTGACTCGAATCCTAGCCGCTGGTGGCAGAGTCCGACCCTCGCTCAGGGCGACGACTACGAGTTTGTCACGATTTTGCTTGATCTTAAGCAGGTGAGTGACTTTTTTTTCGTTTAATCTTTATTACTTTTTTTTTCTTTCTCGTTTCTCGTAGACGTATTGTGGAAGTTTTTCACGTGCCAGCAAAAAAAAAAATGGTTCAAAATCTCCTTGTCGAGCCTACTGGTCGGTTCGAGTATTTGATAGTTGAACCATAGCGAACGCAATAAGTAGAAATGATAATCGTTCATGGATCGTATTTATAGCAAAAAGTACACACGTGCATCATGTTAAATTTAGAGACACAGATCCACAGATCCACACGGGACATGCTGTACCACAAAAATAACAGAGCTTCACTTTAAAAAGATAGTGATAAGGACATTTTTTTTTTTTTTTTTTTACGAATCTGTGGGTTATCTATACACTATAGTCTTCTTTTTTTCACGTAATTAGAAATTCTTAAAAGCTGTGATGGACGTGCCTAAAGTACTCTCCCAATTAAAAAAGAAAAATGAAAAAAAAACCACTGAGGAAACAAACGATGGCTCGGAGGATGGATAAAAAACAGAGGGGCTACAAAAACAGGAGTCGTTGGGACCGCAGGGAGGGAAAAAAAACCTCGAAAATAATAAGGAAAGAAGAAGAAGAAAAACAGGAAGAAGCCTGGAAAGACACGGCGATGGCCTTTCTCCGCGGCGAGTGAAAGAAGGAGAGAGAGTGTATCGTAAATTTCTCGGACTCCTTTTGGGCAGTGTAGGTGACGGTATTGTAGCCTGGCTTGCGCACCTCCGATTTAAGTATACGTCCCTCGGTCCTTCGTGCCGGGCCTTGTCCGAAGACGCCGAGACGGGCCCGACAAAGAGTCCGACGGGGCGGTGCGCGCGAGAGGAAAAATGAGCGAGAGAGAGGATCGCGCGATAAAGCAGACGGGATGGAGATGGACGAGAAACCGGAGAAAGACTCTGAAAGGAAAAAAAAAAAAAAAAAAAAAAAAAAAAGAAAAAGTACATACCCAAGAAATGCCAGAATCGCACTCGCATTTATCAACCCGCGCGTGCAACGCAAGCTCCGTGCCCACATTTCTCAGCACCTCGGGCATAATTCACACGAGGCCCGTGGTAAAAGTTACCCTGCACATATCGAATATTGACTAATCGCTCTCAGGCCACTCGTGTTCCCGGCACTCGGCTCCCCCACCCCCCACCCTCATCCCGCGCACACGCTTTCACGGTCAAGATCTCCGGGGTTCTGGCTCTCGATTGAATTCGCACACGCGCGATATATCTCGAGCTACAAATCATCGGAGATCGTACACACAGAAGGCCACAACAATAAAGTTGCCTGCAGCCTTTCTTTTCTCTTTCTCATTGTTTGTTTTCTCTCTTCCCGTGGGTGCGAGGCCCCGCGCCGTACGGTTGTTTATTTGAATACACTTTATACATGTGTGTGTCTGTGTGTGAAACACGAGATGGTGCAGTGCGAGAATGCTCGTTGGAGGTGATAAATTTCGCGATTTTTTTTTTTTTTTTTTTCGAGCTTTCGTTTCTTTGTGTGGATCGAGATGAATCTTTCGAGGCTCCGCGGAATCGAGAGGATCATGATCTGTTTGCTGAGTCGTCATTGATTGGTTATTGGAATTATAATATTAAATGGGCACATCGTATATAGCTTCTCAAGATATAGGCAGTGTTTGTTGGTGAAGTATTTCTAGAGATGATGGGTTTTAGATTTCGCAATGATTATATTATTTGCCCGATGAATAATATTTTAATATTTCACTCGACTTGCTTTAGGATCATAAATTACTATGACATTTTGTTTCGTAAAATGGTGAATGAATAATTTATACGTACATTGGCATCAATGTTTATCATAATTATTATAAGAAAACAAATAGTACAGCAAATAAATGCTGTTAAAATATTTAAAGGAGCAAATTTTTGGAGAAAATATCAGTTGTGTCTATGACAGAATTATAAAATTTACTAAAAAGTAATTAAACGTGAATCGATACAGTAATTTAACATTATTAAAAATATCACGAATAGAAAAGTTGTGTAGTTCTTCAAAGCTTACAAATATTTTAATAAATATTTTAGAGCTTGAAAACACAATCACTAGGCACACCCTAATAATCTTCGAATAGATGGAAACAAAGAAATCATGACAAAACAAACGTTGGGAAGGTTTCCAAACTTTTAAATTATTTAACGTAGTTGTTTGTCTTACTATGTTCCATACTTTTGAGCACTTGAAAAATAAATTATTCTTCATTTTATTACGGATAATCTTCTAGACCATTTATTCATTTACTATAGGTGTATTACGATTCGAGTCCCATGACGATTTCCTCATTTCATTAATGTCACAAGACATCATTTTATTAACGCTTTTTATTTATGATTTCCAAGATTTCAGTTGATTTGAAATACACTTTTTGAAGGTGGGTCGAAATAATTTGACTTCCATCTCCTCTTTTACATACCCATACGTTTGGTATATATCGGGTACTTTGGTGAGGCAAAAATTAAGAATAGGCATCGTGTAACCTGTTTTACCCATTTCGACGACGATCGGGCGTATATGGGTGGAGAGAGGCTCGATGTCGTGAATTGACGGCTCCGAGAAAACGCAATAAACTATCCGTCCACGTAATGCACGAGTGAGGACAAGATTAGACTACACGCTGGGAGCCACGAGAAATAAATGCACCCATTATTTATACGTGTTACGCAATGACTACTTTTTTTTCATTATTATACATAACACAAATAAATAAATATATACATTATACAAACAGAAGGATATTAACGACACCGCACCCATGTCACTTTGTCGTTCACACGAGCATCGAACTTGTCATTGAAATTACTTTATCTCTAACACATGTCGGACCCGCGAGCTTTTTGATCCAAGCAGTAAGACACGATTACATTAAAGCTCCCACTGTATCGAATTCAATTTATACTTGATCAAGTGCCGTAAAGGCGTATAGTATAGCTCACTGCTCGGTTTTATTTACAGGTGGCCCGTACAGCTTGAGCAAGAGCCTAAAAAACGGCGGGCTGTTTCCGTCGGTGTTCAACGTAGCTGCGAAAGCCGAGCTGCGCGTCAACGCGACTTGCGGCGAGGACGGCCCGGAGACGTACTGCAAACCCGCGGAGACGTCGCGGTGCTCCGTATGCGACTCCCGCAGTCCCGATCCCAACAAGAGGCATCACGTCAACCTCGTCCTTGACTCGAATCCTAGCCGCTGGTGGCAGAGTCCGACCCTCGCTCAGGGCGACGACTACGAGTTTGTCACGATTTTGCTTGATCTTAAGCAGGTGAGTGACTTTTTTTTCGTTTAATCTTTATTACTTTTTTTTTCTTTCTCGTTTCTCGTAGACGTATTGTGGAAGTTTTTCACGTGCCAGCAAAAAAAAAAATGGTTCAAAATCTCCTTGTCGAGCCTACTGGTCGGTTCGAGTATTTGATAGTTGAACCATAGCGAACGCAATAAGTAGAAATGATAATCGTTCATGGATCGTATTTATAGCAAAAAGTACACACGTGCATCATGTTAAATTTAGAGACACAGATCCACAGATCCACACGGGACATGCTGTACCACAAAAATAACAGAGCTTCACTTTAAAAAGATAGTGATAAGGACATTTTTTTTTTTTTTTTTTACGAATCTGTGGGTTATCTATACACTATAGTCTTCTTTTTTTCACGTAATTAGAAATTCTTAAAAGCTGTGATGGACGTGCCTAAAGTACTCTCCCAATTAAAAAAGAAAAATGAAAAAAAAACCACTGAGGAAACAAACGATGGCTCGGAGGATGGATAAAAAACAGAGGGGCTACAAAAACAGGAGTCGTTGGGACCGCAGGGAGGGAAAAAAAACCTCGAAAATAATAAGGAAAGAAGAAGAAGAAAAACAGGAAGAAGCCTGGAAAGACACGGCGATGGCCTTTCTCCGCGGCGAGTGAAAGAAGGAGAGAGAGTGTATCGTAAATTTCTCGGACTCCTTTTGGGCAGTGTAGGTGACGGTATTGTAGCCTGGCTTGCGCACCTCCGATTTAAGTATACGTCCCTCGGTCCTTCGTGCCGGGCCTTGTCCGAAGACGCCGAGACGGGCCCGACAAAGAGTCCGACGGGGCGGTGCGCGCGAGAGGAAAAATGAGCGAGAGAGAGGATCGCGCGATAAAGCAGACGGGATGGAGATGGACGAGAAACCGGAGAAAGACTCTGAAAGGAAAAAAAAAAAAAAAAAATATAATTGAAAGCATTGTGAGGAGGAGAAGGGGTGAAAGGGTATTGGAAAATTTCGAGCGGAGGGCTCATTAGCTGAGCTGCGTAGAGAATCTTTTTTTTTTTTTTTTTTTTTTTTCACCTGTGCTTGAAAGTGCTATTGAATGTCTTGGTCGGTTTGTTGCACGAGTAAAATAACAAATGTGGAAAAAATAAATGATGTATTTGTCGCTTCGGGGAAGGTATATTTGAAGAAATATTTATCGCTGTTTGGGATGCATTTTTTGCAAGGAGGGTCATAAACGTAAATTTGTTTTTATTCTTTCCCTTTGAATAGATACAGAAAAGTTATGACGCTATATCGATTAGAAGTATTTATATGGATACTTTCAAGTGTTTCGAGCCATCGTTTCTGTCCGTGAGGCAAATATTTCAGGAGAAATAAGCAACCCATGGTTATTTCATTTATAAATTATATCTCCTTGCAAATATACAGCACGCGGGAACTGAAAGTAACCACTGATTCATTTTTTTATTTTTCCTCTGAACGTTTTTGATTCATTAGAAGAGATGCTACAGTTGAGTCTCAAAAGTACATGTTAAAGTAAAAAATATAAAATTTTTTATGAAAACGAATTTAATGTAAGAAAAAAAAATTCACACACTCACCTGAACCTTCGTTTGTATCCACATACTGTGCAGCATTGCTCAAATAAGTTATAATTCATCAGATTGTCCATTCACACTCAAAATCATAATAACATTACAGTTGCATGTACTGCCTATCTCCATCTTCCAGCATCTATTTGTACGTTTTGGTCTCTTTATCTTAGCCACTGTATCATATTATGTTTGGGCCACTTTTTCTCTATTTATAACTAATGACTCTGCATCTCTTGTGTTTCAACATTATGTGTGCACATCTCTGTCTCAAAGCCATTGGTTTAAAGTCTCATGGTTTTTGTACCTAAATGACTTGTTTTTTCGTCAGTATTTCCATCGTAAAGTTACTTGTTAAGTATTTTTTTTTTCGTTCTTTTAATACTAAAATTGTATTCTTTTGCATATTTACGTTCTAGAGTATTTCTCTTACTTCTGACCCCTATCGTGAAAAATATGTATCTATTATAAACTATTTTCCATGCTAAGTCTCTATCGGTGCTCGTTTTTTCTTGTCTGTGCATCTTTATATCCTATGATCCCATAAATCTTTCAAATGTATCTATTTATGCGCCTTAGTATGTACGTATCTATTTTTTTCTACATCTTTGCATGCCTCTGCAAAAAAAGTAAGATCGTTATCATTGTCGCTTTCTCTGAATCACTGTGTCTTTCTTTTTCTGTTAACTTCTCCGACTCTGCTTTGGTTAAGTTACGCTTCTTATTTGTGTGTACGAGAATCATAATCCCTATGTCGATGCCTAAATGTGTAAGTCTCCAATTTTTGTCATTATAGCTTGTAAAATAAATTACATAAATTAAATTTTTATGACTTCATTATTTGTAATTTTTTCTCTATATGTGCCGTATCTTGCTGTTGTTAAATGTTTATCTTTTTTTTCTTTTTCAAAGTCTCTATTACCATGCCTCTATCTTTATGTAACAAGACCAATACGTCTATATTTTAGAGTAATTCAAGTTTTGCTCTTTACCCTTAGTTAAGATAATCCAATACCCAGAAATTCAGTTAATTTCAATTATAAATGAATTAAACAAATGATGTGTACAAACATTCATGTACTCTTGAAAATTGTTTCTCCATACGGTTGTATTACCAGAGTAAAACGAGCAATCAACCACAAGATGTGTACACGTTCTGTAAAAAAACGTTACTTCTCAAATCTAGTTTTCAGATTAACTCTTACTGTGCTGAATTGGAAAGCTGCATAATTGATTGTTAACAGCAACTTTTGATAACAATTGATTCATAACGCCACTCTATTGGAGTACCAACTGTCAACCTAAACATAACTGAACTGCGCGGTCTACTATAGTACCATCTATTCAGAAATAAACCGAATCAAGCCTCGTAAGGACATGTGCACAACTTGAAAATTCTCGCAAAAATAGTTCCAAAACCGATGAAAATAGCCGGTTCTAACCACATACACGCAAAGTGTCTTATGAAAATGGTTTACGCAACAAAACAAAACAAAAGTCTGTAAAAAAAGGAAGAAAAGTAGAGGATTGAAGGATGCATTAAGGATCGAGAGGTGCGAGAGCGAAGGGGGGGGGGGAAGAAAGAGAAAAGACGCTCGAGGTAGGAACAGAAGGACGGAAAAGGCCGGCTCAAAGAGCGAAGCTGTGTTCCCAGAACCCGAGATGCGACGCGCCGGCCGGTCCCACTTTCGGCTCTCTTTCTCTAACAAATTGCGTACAAGCTCGGCTCTAACGAGGAAGAACCCCCGGCAGCAGCGACCCAGCGACTCCTCGTTGTTGTACACGCGTCTCTCTCTCTCTGCAGCGCCAAGGGTCACATTTTGTAACGCCGGCGCAGGTATGTGCGTACAGCCGTGAAAACTGTAAAAGTTTCTCCTTGGCGTCCCTTCCCAGCGCCGGGGCCCCTTTGTTTTTTCGAGAGAAGGGGAGAGGCGAGCGAGAAATTTTTCCAGTCAGCTGACCATACTGCGGAAAGACCATACCAGAGCGCAGAGTATAGGTATTTACATGGGCAGGGAGAGAGGAAATCTCGAAGGAATAAAACGCCTGAATGGCCCCGCTCGTGCCACCTGCGACGACGCCGGCGCGTTGTGTTTTTAAGTGTTTAGAGGTGCTACCTTCCGTGAATGGAGGAGGCGCAGGGCATTAAGTGGATTCGTACGGGTGTATGGGCGTTTTTTTTTTTTTTTTTTTTTTCTGCTACTTGAAGCTGCTGGAATTTTCGTTTATTTTTTTCTCCTACCAGCAGCTTTATTTTTGCTATTTTTTTGAAATAAAATGACCAAAAAAAAATTAATAAATGTAAACTATGACGCAGACATTAGGCCAGTAAAATACTTATTTTTTTCATTTTTAGTTCAAATACAATGAAAGATTGGGATTAAAAAATGTGCAATTCTCTTCAAATACGTAATATTGTAGGTAAAGTGTGTACAAAAATGTCTCTTTGTCAGAGTGTTTTTCCATCACTTCTATATGGATTACTCAAATTCTTTGAAGGTGCGGATGATCACTGCTAAAGCCTTAAGATTTTCTCAAACTAAGATTTTACGTGGCCGTAAAGTTATAAGATAAAAAAAAATGTTTTTTCCCCCACGTTTAATGAAGTAATTAGTGGCTTGCTACTGAAGGTTTTTCGTACTCTTCTAATTTACTTTGAAACAAATTTGTATCGCCTGGAATTCATTTTGATAACGAAAGTGTAAAAAGCTTCATCTTTTGTGAAAATTTTTTTTTTTTTTTTTTTTTTTCAACTTATAAACTCAAAAACACTACTATTTTTTATTATCAAATGTTGATATTTCTGACGATGACTGAATCCAGTAAGCACGTGCGTTTTTAATTAAAAAACAAGTTTTTGTTCTGACAAATGTGAATTGTATGCCTCTACTTTGCTGTCCACGACTACGCGATATCGCAAACTATTTTAATGAACTTTCAAGAAAAAAAAGTTGATGGTAAGAAACGCGCAGTCCATCAACTGCAACGTCGGCATGTCTCAGAACTCATAATCGTAAAGTGCAATCAAGGTCACGATGATTAATTTGGCCCACGAATTTTGTCCCTTCGCCAAACGTATAAATGTTGGGTCACACGTGCTGGCAATAAAAGAGCAAAGTAACGATCCTTGATTCGCAGAAACTTCGAGGGCGTTTACCACTACTTACTTGGGTGGAAAACGACATGATTATCGAGAGATTCCGAGTGAAGGAACGATTTCATCGGGACCTTGATTTTTTATAAATTCTTAGTACTATTCTGGCCATTTCTTTACCATTCCACTAAACACGACACACGTGGTAAAAAAGATCCAAAGTAAACAAAATAAGAAATATCAGTTGGAAAAAAAAGGTATCTCCTGCTTTTAGAAGCAACTTCAAGTTTAGTGCTCCTCGTTACAAATAGTATCAGGTTGTTCCCACCGAGGAAGTCGATTTAAGATCGTTTTATCTTGTATTTACCCAAAGAGAGGTACTCGGGGAAAAAAGAAACCAAAAACTCTACCACATACCTTACGCAATCCTATGTAGCCAAATCGCTCCGACGTGCAGTTATTCGCATATGCAAAGGGAAAACTGGCGTCAAGATAAAAACGCGTCGCGCAATAAAATGTAAAAATCGTCCGAAGCCCGTGTGCTTCTTTGAAATTTCTCTTTCCCCCTCGTTGTGTTTCGCAAGAGGTGACGAGCTTTAAAAAAAACTGCGTTCCGCCCCACCGATATTCGGGTCACAAGAGAACGAGAGATTTTATTAACGCAATCATTTAGCGAGCTGAAAAACTCGTCCCTTTTTTTTTGTTTTGTTTCTTGACATCGGAAACCTTTAATTTAGTCCTCGTGTGTACGAGCTGCTACACTTGGGCTTTAAAAATAACGTATGCGCTTGTATTCCATTGAAGACTCGATTCCCGTCAAGATAAATCGAGGCATAGTGCGCGAGGGATACGATTTCTCGGGTGTGCTTTCGTACAGAGCAAAAAAGACGCTGTTTTAGGACTTGTCGAATTTGTTGGTCTAAACGCGTTTGCGTGTGAGCTTAGGAAGCTACGCTCGAACGGGGATGGGAAGCCTTTAAATCTCGAGGTGGGGTAAAAATAAATCGCTTGAGTGGTTTTCTTCAACGATACTCGTATACGTAAGCTGAGCACAATCATTGTCGGGCGTGTGTCTTTTTACAGTTGTTTTCTTTAGCCGCGAAATACGATGTTTGCGTTTGTAACTGCGGTGATTAAACATGCATTACATGGAGTGTGGATTTGAATGATGGCCGATAAGTTTTAATGTGGAAAATATTTATGTGTTGCTTTTTTTCCTTCCTTTGAAGCCGCGAGAATGGGGGGCTTTTTGGATGTCGGGAAAGTAGATCCATTGATGGCTTCTAATAAAAAGTTTCTGGCCATAGGATTGGGGCGTACGAGTTAAATGTTTTATTGCTCAATAACAATACGAAATGGGCTGCAAAAATAAAATGTACATGACGATTGAATGCAAAACTCGGCTCTTTGATTTTAAAACCGAAAACTTAGTTATAAAGATATCTCCAACATTTTTTAAGGATAAAAGTGCTATTAAAAGTAAATTCTGTTATTGCATGTGCATTTGGAGAAAATTACATTCTTTATCGATACAAAGCTTTCTTGGTAAGGGAAGTAAATAAATTAATTTTACACAAGTTTGAGGAGAAAAAATATAAAATTTATTTACTTATAATTTTAGGATCCAACTTTTTTCATTCACAATAAAGATGGTATCTCTTTTGCTAAGGTATACACAAACAAAGGCATTATAAATATGAGTTTCGACAAATAACATTCTATTCTGAATTCTCGATGGATAATATCATTACCGTTTGAAAGTTTTTTGACAAAAAAACATCCGTCCATCACAATGCAAAACTTTTAAAACAGTACAGTTTTAAAATTATGATTAATCATAATTATACTTAGAAATATTTGAAAAACAACATTATCGTTGAATGTTTTTAGCTAAAATAAAAGTACATTATAAAGTTTCTAGGAACAAGATGTCATTATTATCATGTAATGGTATTGGTTATTAGTAGGTTATTTAGACACCTTGCAATTCTTATGTTTTTTTTTTTTCATGTATGATCAGCAGTTCATTAAAAACAAATTTCTTTAAAAATGAATACAAGAAGGTTAACTGTACCTTCAGAAGGGGAGGAGAGACTAGAGGTTCCTTTTTTTGCCTCTTTTACGTAAATGTTGAACAAAAAGAAATTTTTTCGAAATATAGAGAGATTTTATAGCGAAAGAGTAATTTTTTACGATTTTCCGTCAAAGACCTTTTCAAGGCGAAAAAAAATTTCAATTACTCGAGTTGGAGGGAACCAAAGGTCTTAAAACTATACACAAATTTATTTCGTGAGATATTGATCTGTAGATCAAAAATATTGTCAATCAATTATTTGAGGTAGATAAACCTTCTTAAAATATGGTGGGTTTCGAGTTTTCTTCTGGAAGCGAAATCTTTTTTAAACAAAAAACATAAAAACTAATGTTCTGTGAAAATATCGAGTGTTTTGTTTATCACATCTCACTATCATGTTGTACTGAATTCCATTAAAGTTTTTTTTAAGTTGCTTTAGTTACTGTAACACCTTAAAACTAAAAGTTGTTTGCTGCGTCAATGATGTTTTTGGAACAAAAATATCGATGTTTGTTTTTCATTAAAAAAATACTTTACAGGCATTTTTTCGTGTAGACCATCGGTATACCGAAGTAAAAATAAGATTCCAATAAAAAAGTAATGGATGAATAATTGAAATATCGATACGTACATACACGTACTAACAAGTCGTACGTGTTCAAACATTTATTCTCAGCAAAGAATGTGCAGGTACATGGCTTTTCAAACAACAAACTCGATAAAAGCCAATTTGGCTGAACACTTGGAAGGAAATCATACGACATGCGCGTGGGAGATGACTCATCATCACCGCAAAAGAAGTACGAGGGTTGATTATTTCCTCTTTACTTTGAAGGGAGCTTATACCCAATAACCCATCTTCTGACAGATGACCTGAAATTTCAATCTCCCTTTCGTTGTATACGCAGTACGTGATCTCTGCTGTCGATGATTGTTTTCTCTCTTGTTCATTAAACTCCCGTCTTTTTTCACTCTCTATTCTCGTTATCAGCTCAAGTATTGAATTTTATTCAAGCAAATTGCCAGACTAGTGTACCACAAACTATTTATAGTTTTTGAGAGTGTAATCTTCTTTTACTAATTGGAAAAGCGTAGGGCACATTTTTGATGAAATTTTTTTCATCATCTGTAAATGAAAAGACGATTATATAGCAACATGATGTTAACAATCTTGCTTTCACTTAAATTCTATAATTATGCTCTGCAACTATATATTTAATAGTGAAATCATTCATTCATTTTAGACTATTAAATACGTTAAATCTTGTAATCTTTTACTAAAAAAATATTAAGTTTTCTAAAATAGAGCTGTACACATCATGTTGTAAAAGTTTCCTACCTGATCATATCAAAATGATTCGTATACTAAATGTGTACAATGTGCGTCCCTCAGGACCAAGCAGCTTGTTCATGTAATAAATTATGCAATGATCGAATACTACCAATTCCAAAGCTATAGCTATTACACATACATATATATTCATGCAGGTATCTTCGTAAAACGGTTATCATAAGTCAACACCGTGTTGTGTAGATACATGCATTCATCATGTAAATATATGTGAATCTAGATATATACACTAAAACTGCCAATTAGACAATTAATCATTAATAACCACTAGACTACATTTCTTTTTCATCAGTTTCTCATGTGGAAATAATAATGATCAATGTGCACGTTTGTTTGTTTGTCCAGACTTACCAAATCGAATATGTCATCGTAAAAGCGGCCAACTCCCCGAGACCAGCGGCATGGATATTGGAAAAATCGGTAGACGGCGAGAATTTTCGAACTTGGCAGTACTACGCGCCGAGCGACGAGGAATGCTGGACGCGGTACTCGATGCCCCCCACCCTGGGAAAACCAACTTACAGCCAGGACGACGAGGTCATATGTACGAGTTTTTACTCCAGGCTGACACCCATGGAAAACGGAGAGGTATGGCAGACACACTTGTCTTACGAGTGTACCCCCGTTGACAATAAGACTACCAGGACTAAGCGTTGATACCGGTTGCACTACCGGTTATCGGGAGATGATCTTCGTGATGTAGGAAAAAATACAAGCTCTACGCTTTTCGCAAGCCAAACGTTCTGCTTGTCTGCGCGTTATTTCTGTGGGCTTCGAGCGTCCGAAGGGCCTTATACGGATGTTTTCTGTGCCGTAAATGGACAGTGGGCTGGTATGGGTTTTTTCATCAGAACGTACTTTTATCAGGCTTTCTGAGATCCATCGTGTGTATTCGCAACAGGTGATAAGAAAACTGGATACGTTATTGAACAAACGTTTTCAATCAAGTTTAAGCAAAATTTAGGAAATCTCTTCTTTTTTTTTTTTTTTACTTTTCTTGTTCATTTGATTCCTGTTAGAAATAATGATATTAGGTCTTTTGGAACGCGAGTTTTCACGAATAAGCAAAATATAGCTAGACATATTGTATCATCTGAGTCTCTTTCTTTGAAAAGTTATTGACTTCTCATTTTCCAGAAAATCAAATGTACATACATGAAGTTTAAATGTGTCGTTGAATCGTGAAAGCTTTTGCTGATTAGATACGTTCTAATCACGTTTATTTAAATATCACTATTCTTTAACGCCGTGTTAACAATCAGATAATCAAATGCAAATATTATTGTAGTATACTGTAGAAATCCGCAGCAAAAGATAAGTTAGCAATAGTAATAAAATATATTTCTAAAGTTTCGATTGTTTCTTAAGTACTTCTGGAAGTGGAGGGTCATATTTGAACGCAAGGCTTCAAGTACTTCTTTATAATTGATTCCCAGATTTTTATCATGCACACAGCATTGTAAGAAATATGATTTAAAAAATGAAAACAAACTCATTAAGATTAGAAATAAAATTTAAAAAATCTACTATGACTTTTGGCATGACGGTACCTATTGATTATTTTTTTGTCAATTAATTAAGCACAAAAATCACGCTCACCGATTTCTTATATTTTAGGAATATGAATAATAACTTTTAAACATAATGCTAAGTAAATAATTGCTGACTCGTCAATTCAAATTAATATCACTGTTTTAAAGCTTACCTTTTAAAAAAAAATGTTGTTGAATTGGGAATAAAAATAAATAAAAAATAAAATAGTAGTGATGCAAATGTTTGTTATTACTTTTTAATGATTATTTTTTATAAATACAAAACAAATATGTTACACAATGGAATTGATAAAAAAGCATTATGTCTGTAAAAAAGCAAGTTTTTTCACTAAGCTTCATGAGTAATCCTAATGTCCGCGAAACTATCAAAGACAAAAATATCCGATATACTTGCAAGTATCTATTATTAGAAAATTTCATGAGGAGAAGTAAAAATTAAAGTGATCTTAGACATATTGTTTTTAGATGCAATACCAACGTCCATTTTTAATTTTAATTTTTTATTTTTGACACGTATGCGTTAATACAAAGCAATCAAAACCTTAAATAATTTGTTGCATTCGTTTACCAAAAATATTGAAAGAAAAATGTTCTGAAAAAATAACAATGAAATAGTCTTTAATAATATTTAGTATTTACGTAATATATACAATTATTTGTATAACGTAATGATATCGTGTCTATAATTCCTTAGAGAACCTTTAATTAAGATTTATTTTATATGTAATGAAAAATAAAAAAAAAAATATGGACCTCGAGATGGAGACAAATGTAATAGGATGAAAAAATCAAGACAATGCAGAAGCATATACTTACAAAATTCAGATAAAATGAATTTGTAAAACCGAGCCTGAGATAAAGTAGTTAGTTTCAAGACAGAGCAAGAATACGTCATTCTAATGGTATTGAATTCGATAACTGTTTTTTGATATTAAAGCAATCCAGAATGAAGATAAAATATAGTAAAGGAATGTCAAGATAAATATACAGAAAAACTTTGAAAAAAAGCACAAAAATGGATATTTATCAATACACAAAACACTAATATGCTGGAGAGTTAAAAGATCACAGTTTACAATAATCTTAGTTAATAATAGTGTTGCATTTCATACAATTAAAAGGCTTAATAATTTTTGCCACGGTTCCGTTTACTCGTTTTCTTAGTCGTGAGTACTAGATTTTGTCTTTAGAGACATTTTTCAAAAACTTTCTATAGAAGGCCTAACAGTAATGATTCTGTTAATACATCTATTATATTGTAGCAGTAGCGGTTCACGTTTGCCTTAATATCAATATTTTTGAATTAATTTATAATTTTTTGTCCGTATCTTATTTCCTTTATCAATAAATCTGACTTGATAATTTTCTGGCATATGGTTTATACTATAGTATCTCTATCGCCACCATTGTAACTCTCGTGGTTTTTTTTTGTCTTTACCATTTTATTGTTGCCACAATGAGTGAATTTTAAACAATACTTTCACAATAATCTTGGTACACATAATATTTATTCTCAGTCACTGTAATTTTAGTGCCGTAGCATTCACATTCTCATATCTACATTTATTATTTTACGTCTCTCTATTTCTAAGTCCGTATTTTTTATTTTACCGCTGTTCATATGATTGTAGATTTCTTTTTTACACCTATAACAAGATGTTGTGAGGAGTTTTCATGCTGACGCAGAAACCTCATAAAACCTCCTCACATTGGATCCCGTCTATGTTTCCAATTATTTTTGTCACAATATACTGGTTTTTGTCAAAAAAAATCTTCGTTTCCATGCCTTTTTTTAGAAACTTTGGGATAAAAAACAGTACTTACTCATATGAAGTACTTAAAATTATACTACTAGTATCAGGACTAAAATGTAGACTATAAGTATAAGTAGATTAAAGTACAGGTTTAAAGTTAAAGTTCACAGTTATTATAAAATTCATTACAGAGGTGTTGATAGACTTTTCAAAAAGCGCCCAATATAATATTTTTCTTTCACAGCTCTCTCATACCAGTCGTTGAAAAAGAAAAAAAAAAAAAAAAAAAAAAAGATGATTTAAGAAATATCGATTGGGTGGTTTTTGAAACGCTTACCAAGATAACCGCAATACATTTTATAAAAAAAGCAATTTTGACTACACGCTTCAAACGTGGACTTGAACACACTTAAATTTACAGAGTATTATCGTTTTAACAGTTCATAGATAATACTTGTGTAAACGTGAAAAAACCTTTTTTTGGTATGATTTTGTTTTTTTTCCATAATGTACGTTTAATGATCCACCAAGAAGGTCACAAATATCTTGTACCGATTTGTTATTGTGTTTATGACAATGACTTGTTATTCTAGTGGATTCTTGAAAAAAGTCATCATTATAATTGTAAGATATGTTTCACGACAAAAACAAAAACAGCATGCATATTTTCATGTTAAAAATATATAGCTCATTAGAAGATTTTACTATTGAATACTTTAAAATCAAGAAATACAAATTTTGCGCACTTTACTCCGCTTTTCTTTGCATATTCTTATGAAAAAAATAAGTTATGGCTCAATAAGATTACAGTTTTTGCAAATCTAAAATAATTTTATGGGCTTTACATCCAAAAACCTTAAATATGACTATCTTTTTTGTAATTTGGAATCAACCTGTAAAATTTTAGCTAGATAACTGTGTACTACGTGATATTTCTTATAATCTAATTAAATATTCAAGAATAAATTGCAACACTTAGGTCTCATGATACTTTTTCTTGGAAAATAAATTTTTTGTTTATTAATGATTCTACTACATTAAAAATTTCCCTATTCAAAATGTTTTTGATTTAATTTAATTTATTATTATAGACATAAAAGTAAATTAACTTTATTTGTAGGCTTGGCACACAATTGGTAAATGTTTGTTTTCACTTATCGAAACCATTAATGCTCCGCAAACTTAAATTTGATTTAAGACTATTTTAAAAAATATTCCTCTTAAAAATTCTTTCACTTACTGCTAAGTATCGTACGTATCAGCTTTTTTGTGCTATCGTTTTGAAAAAGTGCCACTTATACGCTGTCTATCTTTCAACGCATAGTTAATACAAACTATTTTATCGTTAACGTTAACGATTTTTTTTTTTCGACAAACACTACAAATACGGAAATCATTTCTACTGAAGGTGCATTCACGTGGTGAACGTTTACCGAAGCATATCACATTTTTACAAATTTTTACCGGAAATACATTCTAATAATAGATTGTCAAAATTTATGTTGTCACGCTTTGTAAGAGAACTAAACAAAAAGTGGATTTAAAAGTAATTTTCAAACTCTTCAAGATCTTAAGCAATACGATATTCAATAAATAATTTAAAAAATAGTTACGTCAGTTAGAAAAGTTTGAAGCCGTAATTTCTCGGACAATACGGAATTATTTTATGAATTGTCGAAATTCATAAATGCTCATGTAAGTTTTTTTTTTTCTTTTACTTATTAAACAAACTTTATGTGGAAGAATTCATTTCAAATTTATTTAGCGGGAGAAATTCGTCTGTCAAGTGTTTTATGTATAGTGTATGATATAATTCATTGCATGCAAAGAGGTTTTGACAGCACAAAAATCTATTTAATGGGCAAAATTGGACTTTTAGCCCCTACTCTGGATTCTAGTGCAGTGCACGAAGTTGTCATTTTTAACAAATTAACCAATACGCTTTTTAGCTGTTTTTATAAACAAAAGTATCTTATTTCTCCTCAAGAGTAAAAAATTGTACCACTTACCCAAAAAAAATTAATTCTTATTTTACACCCTTACCCTGTGTTAAGATGTTGGTTCACACATGAAGGAACCGTCAACTATTCTTTTTCTTGTGGCAAAATCGTATGCTAGTACATGCAATGCTATGAAAGAAAAAGTACGCTATTGGTGTGATTTCGAGAATGTTCTTATTTGATTTCAAGGTAATAGCCATTCATTTGTTATCAGTTGATGCAATTTTTTACTCAAGAGGGAATATGATATTTAAACACTCCTGGAATAAAATTGATTGAACAAATAATCTGCTGGTGCGTTAAAGCATTAATACTGCTAAAATGAAGATGTAGCCGAACTTGGACCAATGCGGGGATTAACAAAATTTTACGTAGAATTAATACTACTTTTACCGATTTATGTGATTTCTTCCTTCATAGAAGAAGTTCACGTGGACCACTAAATAAAACGCGTTAGCCTAACACAGCTCAAGTTGCTGTACTGTACTTACCACCTGTGTGGTGACGTCACTATTTTTGAAGAATCGGTGATGGCAAAAAATATCTCAACATCACTTTATAACGTCATATAAAAAGTACAGTTTGTACAAACTAAAGCTTCGTTTTTCTATTTATGCAGTTGTTTAAAAAAATAGTTCTGATTTAAAATCTTGCAGTAGGTAACTCATATAAACTTTTTAAGGAATAATAATTTTTTTTGTATTATACAACAACACCGTGTATAAGCACATTAACTAAACTTTTCAAATAATTTAATTGTTATGATTAGTACAATCCACATTAAAAATGTGTACCGTTCATATTGTGCTTAACTTCGACTTTGATGATTGTAACGTCACCATGCAATTTTTGCACACCGTACGAGCTATCTTGGATATGTTAGCCTTGTGCAAGTCTTTAGAGGGGACGCTTGGCTCATAAAAACTTCAATTTATTTTGTCAAGTACTATTCCGTCAAGCCAAACCTTAATTGTTCTTTTAATTATGCTATTTTTTTACATTGTTGGTTATCACTCATTAAATAATTTTGCTAGTGTTTGATTAATTCCCTGTTTCAATATTTTTTAATGAAGGTCTGATAAGAATATCCTTTCGTTTCTTTGTAGCATAATCGATAGTTTTAAATTTTTTATACTAATTATCGAGCAATAAGACTAAAGCTTTATGATTCTTATTGTTATTATAATTTATAGAACTGAAATACTTTGCATTCACTTAATTAGCACTGCATATGTTTGGTCTATTCTGATTATTATTTTTATAAACAATTAAATTTGTTTCAACAATTACTATTTCAATCTGTTAATATCTTTGTAACTACACTTCAGGCGAATATCTCTCCAATAGATTTGAAATGAAAAAGACTTTTCCATTTGGTAATTTGTTGAATTGTCTGAAAAATTAATTTCTTATAGGTAGAAAAATAATTTTACGTAATTTTTCTAGTGAAAACAAAAAGAGTGGACTGAATTAAAGTACTATACCGTATCCGAATCTCCGTTATAGTATTTACCTTTATTTGCTCCTGCCTTGGAAGATCAACCTTTTAAACTAACAACACTCCTCGTCAAATCTCAAAAAATCCATCGAATTCATCGTGTTCTTAAACAACCAAGTTACCACACCAAGTTCTTGAAATCGAATATCGTTAGAAAGGAATACAGTGTATCAATCATAAGCTCAAGATGTCCGACGTTGAACTGCACACGGAGAGTTCCAATTCGTCAAATGAATTCGAAAATTCGGAGGAGAGACCTTACAAGTGTTCAGTAACAGGATGTGGACGAGGTTTCCGCCGACCCATACTTTTGAATATTCACCGGACTGCCTATCATAGCCACATCTGCCGTTCTTGTTGGAAAAGTTTTCCCGACGTAACCAGTCTTTTTCATCACAAGCGCGAGTGTAAACCATAATAAAGTTAACCAGTTTATATTTATAAGAATGGACTAAAATTATACCATAAGATGGGTTCCCAACGTTCATTTGTTACGTTATGAACAATTAACGACTTATAATGTTATCAATCCTCAACAATAATGTACATTATCCACATACCAATACATCGCTCATCATGTAAAGTTCTTCAAAAGAAAGAAAATGTATTTTTATAAATTAATTCTAGCTCAATTTTTTTTGTTCTTACTATTTACAACCTAAAACCTAAAAATAATTTACTCTATTGCTGCTTTAAAATCGTTACAGTAACATTTTTTTCATTTGTTGTATAAAGCAACAAGCTGTCATTAATTGCAGAAGCTATTACCTGCAATTTTATAAGCGCTAATAAAAAATGCAATTAAACTGTATGTCAATCGTTCAATATAGGTATCTAAAAAAGTTCGGAAATCAGCTAATGTACGTAATTATGTCTCTCACCCTATGGGAACCCTTTCTATTCAGTTTAATCTATTAGTTGTTCTGCAGCACACCCCGTATAACACTATATTAATATCATTGTATGTGCCATTAATCATTTTAGATATACTTTTTCAACATTTTTAGGTATATTTCTTAACAAATAATATTCCGAAAACCAACCAATGCATAAAAAATAGTAACCAACTCAAACAAAAAAATTAATTCACTTATGATACCTTCAGATTACACGTTTATAAGTTTCAATGTAATTAATGTTTTTGCTAGCGAGAAAATTATTCTGAAAGTTATTAAAGCCAATCGGAAGTAACTTTGTGATTAAATCACTTCCTCTTGCACACAATTTTATAATGACATCTCACTTGTCTTGTGTTATATTCGATTTCCTTTTGGCTAAAAAAAATTCTATAATCAAACTTTGGGCTCAACAATGGGAAGTCTCGGTCAGTTCATGTGTGATTTAGCCGTGAAAATTCGATTGGTCGTACTCTAAAAGTTTTAAATAAATTTGACAAAACGATTTAATATAATTTACGGTTGGAGATGTAAAAATAGCGAAAATATTTTTTTTTTTTTTTTTTGAATTTAAATATTGAAAATGATTACTCAATAGCCACCGATAAGTATAGAACACTAATCCATCCTTAAAGTTTTTTAAATTGTGCTTATCAGTACCCTATGTCTCAAAAATTTTTGATAGTATAAACGTCAAAAAATCATGGTATTAAACTACCAGAAATACAATTTTACGCACTGATAAAAGGACTGCAAATCAAGAGAAAATTGTTATTAATAATCTAATACTACTAGCTTTTCACAGAGATTTTACCCTTGTAGATAAAAAAATCTTCCAAAGACAAAATAACTGTCATTTTCAATTGCACAAATGAATTTTCTATATATTTTAACGGGCTAAAGAACAAGTTTCAAACAATAATGGAGGTAATAACAAAATAAGTTCTAATAATAGCACGAAAAACCAGTACTAGAAAAATAGGTGATAAATATATTACATATCTTCAATTTTGATAATGATTAAAATAGTCTACCTACAGAATAATAAATTCAAAAAATTATTGCTAAAAATTTCACATGTCCATGTGAATTCCAACAATGTATGTATAATGTATAACACTAACCACTTAAAAGTTTGTGACAAATCATTTATGGACAAAAAATTTTTATCTTTTATTCGTGAGTATGTTGAAATTATATTGATAGTAATTTAGTAAATTAAGCCAGCTGGGGTATTAACCTGCAAACATTAGGAAATCATAGCATACGTCGTACTTTTGAAATGTTACTAATGTTACAATAATTTTTTTATTTTCATACACATTAATACGAATAAAGTGAAGATCGACAGTACATAATAAGTCTACTTTTTCATTTAATTCATACACATTGTTTGAACCTGATGAGGATTTTGAAAATATAATACTGTTGGCCAAAGCGTTTTTGCAACCAGTAAATGAAATTGGCAGTATCGGAATTATCGTATTTCTCATAATTATTGTTAATAAAATATATTGCGTAGTAAGTAGTAACAGTCGAGTCAGTTCCAAGTTACAAGTGGTACTATATTTTTGCGTGTACTCAGGTACATAGTGTATTTGTAAAAAAGGAAGTAAAGTACTTTTTTGATAGTTCAGGTCTATTTATTTATTTGTTCCTATTTCCCTCTTTTGATACTCCAAAATGTAGCAACTATCAGTTGATCAATATTAATTTCTGACATGGTATTTGTTACTCTTACAAATTTCAATTGTTTCTGAATGTTTAGAAATTTTCTTAAACAACAGTCACCCCCTAGTGCAATCGATCTACATGAGTAAAAAGTGTAATCAGTTGTTCCTACTGTTACGTAAAATAACTTAAAGGTACAACTTTTTTTCTTGAATAACCACAACAATGTGAAATTTTCTTAAAATTTTATGAAATAGTACGTAAAATACACCCCAATCGACACACAAACCATGTAATCGAATGAAATGAATAACTATCTGTTGCGAAGCATCTCTTATTCGAAAAAAAAAAATTAAAAAATCAACACCACAAAAATCCTCAACCAAACGAATCAAACGACCACTTTCTCTCTTTGCAGATTCACACTCAACTGGTGAACGGCCGCCCCGGCGCCCTGAATCACTCGCAAACCATCCAAGACTTCACGGAGGCGCGCTACGTCAGGATACGCCTCCAAGGCTTCAGGAGACGAGGCGACGCGATAGTCGAAAAGAACCGAGCGTTTTACTCGATACGAGAAATAAACATCGGTGGCAGGTGTCTCTGCTCCGGACACGCCTCCAAATGCAAATCAAGTCCCCTGCACAAGGTGTAAACCTCATAGATCCCACAAATACATCCGACACGCATCCAAATAAAATCTCATACCGATCAACGCACATACACCTCGGGCCCTTTTCACCGTATGTGCATTGAAGTACATATAAATATACGTGAACCGCGACTCGCCGTGAGCCAGAAAACACTCGGGCGCGGATTCCACGGGTCCCGCAAGGCATCCGAGCAATGCTTGGCGTCGCTCTTTCTCCCGCATACCTGGAAAATCGCGCCTCCGCGCTCACTTATCCGTACATATACGAGCGAGAAAAACGTCGCATAAAGCGCGCAAAGAAGAAGGAGCAACGGAGGACGCGTGGGTATATTTATATGTAACATGTGGTGCCCTTTTATAGGATCCCATCTCTCGCGCGCGCGCTTTCTTCGCCGCGCAATGGTACACATAAAGAGCCGAGAGAGAGATAAGCGCACGCCGTATATAATATAATATACGTGAAGCCATACGCGTATAAAAGCGCATCGGCATTTAATCGGGATCGTCCCTTATGGCTCTGCACGTGTGCAAGTTCACTTTCTTGTGGGGGTTTTTAACGAGAGTACTCATACGCGCGATGCGGGAACTCCAAAGTCACGTGCGCGCGCGCCATTGAAGCAACCAGAAATCGTGAGTGTATGGTCATTGCTATACGAAGTGTGGCACTCGAGGGGCTGTGGAGGACAAAAAGCTCGAGCTTTAACGCGTTATGGCTACAGGGAGCGATGATGGGTTGATTACGAATGTAATTATTGGTCGTGCAGTGGTGCTTCATGGGTCTGGTTGAGCGAATTTATGCACGCTAATATGTAAGGGATGATTGGCTGTTTTTAGAGCTTCTGGTTTAAAAATGTCAAATTTGTCTTTTTACATCTCCGAGGCGTTTAAAGTGGTGCCACAGGAAATTAGAATTTATTCGGTCGTCGCCAAACTTGGTGGAGTAAGTCTGCATATAATTTAAGAATTCCTTAACGAATGAAATTGTGAGAAAAAAAGATTGTTGCTAATGAGGAAAATTACATTGAATTGGAACAACAAAAGTATATTGTTTTTTAATGTTGAAAGCATGCAAAAATCATCATTTCCCAAAATCAGATAGGATATAAGGTCATGTGCGCAATTATCGCTAGATACTATTCGTTGTTGATAATTAACTTGTATAATGTACTAAAACCTGATTGTAAAAATTGCTACGTACAATTTTTTATTTATTTATTATTTTTTTTTTTTCATTTTTAATGTACTTATTTAAAGAAACAAAAAATATTTTTCTTAGCTGTACCTAAAATTAACCCTCGCAGCATCTCGATATGAATCACTGTTTCTCACGCATGGGTATATATAATATACCATCAGAAGTGACATGTACAACGATTCTCTTTTTCCTTCATTCCGCGCCAAAGTTCGCGAATAACTGTTCCTATAATTTTTGCGGTGAAATTTTTCCGAAATTACCCCACCGAAACTATTACCACAAACGTTTCGCGGGTACAAAAAAAAAAAGTTCCCTGATGAGGCTCACCGAGCGCGTTAACGCGGCACCGGCCGTGTGTATACGGTCCTCGAGAACGCGCGTGGCTCTCGTCGCAGAAAATTCCTTACGTACGCTCGGCCATTAGTCAGTGCGGCACCCGTTATACCTCGTGTGTTCTTAACCCCCTCTCCCCTTTATAAGGAAGTACACGCGCTGAACAAAAAGGAAGAATAACGTAAGAGGAGAAAAAGGGGGGAAAAAACGACACCAAGCTGTTGTTACGTTTTATTTTTATTTGCCAGTTTTGTTTTTTTTTTGTTTTTTTTTTCTTTTTTTCAAAGTAAAATTACCTAAAGAGTATCAGGTGTACCGTTGAAAATTGTCGTGCAAGCAAAAACTTTACCCAGGACAACTATGTTTTTTTCCTCAGCGCCAAGAGTGCGAATGCGAACGACACACTTGCGGAGAAAAGTGCGATAAATGTTGTCCCATGTACAACCAAGTGCCATGGAAGCCCGGGACCTCGGGCAAAGGTTTTCACTGCGAAAAATGCAACTGCCACGGACACGCGACGAGCTGCCAATACGATCCCGAGGTCGCTGAGAAGAAGCTGTCGATGGACGTTCGAGGGAAATTCAGGGGCGGTGGTGTGTGCAGCAATTGCTCGGTAAGGCTCGTGATTTTGTACCACACTCACATTTACAACCATGTGCTGATTTTTACCGTTTATGAGTCTTTTCACTGCTGCTAATCATCCAAATCATAAATGGTGGATATGCAGTATGGCTGACAAGATCGTTAATACAGTTTGAGGTCTTATAACGATGAATAACGTCTACTGGAGAGTTTATAGGTCACTTACACTGCATTAACTGCTAGATTCTTGCGATCTGACGCTATAAAGTAAATACTCAGGAAGAAAGTATTACATCCGCCATTTCAAAAACGTTTTGTCCGCCCTATCATTTTGAATTTCGTGAATTTAGCTATGCTTACCGAGTGTACTTGTATCACTGTAAGGTTGTATGATGGTAGTGGAGGTAGGTGAGAATGTATTTTACAACTTAGCAAAGTATCTCTTTACCAAAGCACCAGAAAAAATTAAATTCCTAAAATACGATTGTTGATGTTCATCAAAATGTTGCTAAAACGTTATAAAAAACTATTGAAAAAATTATTTGTCCACCCAAATCATATATTTTCATCATGATTGTGGTTCAGCATTGAGTCGTGAGATAGTACGACCATCACGGATGCATCCCCATAAAAATAAATATTTTTTTGTCCTACCTCTGACAAAGCTACCAATTTTTCTTCTCTATCCTCAGCGTAGCTGTACTCTCAGCCTTGAAATTCAAATAAAAACATTGTATTTTCAACAGATAAAGGCGAAAAATCGTATTAATGATTCGAAGCAAAAATTCGGCATCGTTTCTCCATCACTTGTCATATTCATCTTTCATTTCCGTGATAAATTAGACCCTAAAAAAAAAAGTGCTATACTTTTGTCATTCGTGACTTGATGTGTTGTTTCTTAAAAAAAAAAAAAAAAAAAAAAACTTTCTATTTATATATAAAACGTTTCTTTATTCGCAGGTGCACACACCACAACGCAATGTTTTTGGCATATATTTGTTCTCGCGTACTTGAGACTTTTTAAGACCTCTTTTTTTTATTGATTCCAAGCCACGTATTATATAAAGGGTTGCACTTTGTTAAAAGTAAAAACTTCTGGCCATTCATTAAACATAATGTTGCAATTATTCCTAATGGCAATGATGGAATTTTGTAAGATAGTTTCTCGTGAAAGCTCGAAAGCTGGTCCCTTAGGGTACAGCACAACCCTTTTGCACGTATAATATTTCCATGGTTGGTTTTTCAGGACCACACAACAGGGATCAACTGCGAAACCTGCGAGGCAGGGTACTACAGACCGGACGGAGTACTCGCGAGCGACCCCGAGCCATGTGTCCCGTGCAAGTGTCACCCACGCGGTAGCACGGGATTTTGTATCCCCGACGACTCGTTCAACAACATCGGAAAGGTACGTCCAAAAGCAAAATGTCCCGGACCGCCTCAACGATAATCATTCACAATGTCCATCCTCGCAACAGGCGGCCGGAGCTTGCGAGTGCAAGCTCGGCTACTCCGGGCACAAGTGCAACCAGTGCTCGGCGGGTTTCCGCCAATTCCCGGACTGCCTCCCCTGCCCGTGCGACTCACGGGGCGTACTGCCGAGCCACGACTGCGAGGGCGACTGCATCTGCAAGGCCCACGTCGACGGCGAATTTTGCGACCGATGCAAGCCCGGCTACTTCGCCCTCTCAACTGCCAACCCTGAGGGCTGCCTGCCCTGCTTTTGCTCCGGGCTCTCCAACGACTGCTCCTCCGCCAAAATCGACTACAACATGGTGAGCCATACTTTTTTAACGATCTTTGCGAGTACAGTGGAAAAATCCTTACTAAAGAGCCAGGGTGATCCTATTATAAGGTCTGGATTAGATTATGTGTGTAGGAGTACATAGGCTCCGTGTGTGCCCTTTCGCAAAACCTCATACGCCGGCAACGTGAAACGTCTTCCGAGCCCCTTCGGCTTGGGCTCGAGTCGCAGATTAGATCGAAAAACAGGTTGGCTTAATGCTCGCGTCCGGCGATACTCTTTACACGTGTATGTATATACATGGAAAGGGGGATGGGAGAAAGAAGAAGCGCGCGATCGACTTACCGCCGTCGTCTTGTCTCTTAACGTGAGGGGGGGGGGAAGGGGGATTTGGTTGTAGTGTCGTGTCGTCGTGGATAATACGAGCAAAGTCGCACGATGCTTATCTCGCTCTCCGCGGCTGGACCATACACGAACCTGCCACTGATGGCTAATTATCTTGTCGCGTATCGCGTGCGTGCGGGCATTTCGATACGCGTCCGGGAGGACCATTAGCGATCGTTGACTGAGGCGACGGGATGATTAATCGCGTTACGGTTGGCTGATTTGATTCCATCTCGTGTTTATCCGGCTCGTATCGGCAAAATGTGTACGTATATACAAACGATAGCCGACTGTGTATTGTATATATGATTGCTCATTTGTTGAGTTCTGGATTATGACTTTTGCCTTTTTTTAAGGTTTTTATAGTGTAGTACAATGGGAACTCAATTTGTTGGTGGAATGGGCCTTTTTCTTATCTTGCTGAACCCATCCCTTCTCGAGAGTAGTGGCCGAACGTTTCATTTACAATCGAACAGTGTATTTATAAATAAGCCATCCTGAGTTAAGCATCGATGCCTAGACTGACTGGCTGAGCTTCTGTGGGTAAAAAATCTCCTTCGTAGGACGTAGGAAGTATCAAATTCAAAATTGTTATAGACAAAGACAGTATAACAAATAGACAAGATTCTTTGTTTTGAAAGGTATTAGATACAGCATAGTCTCTCTGTTGCTTCAAGTAGATTTATATAAATAAACACTGTGATAAACACACTTTTATGAGCTACTACGAATACGTGACCGCAGTTAAACGACACGATTGAAATAAATAGGGGTTCGCCGGCCTTAGCCAACATATAGGTTTAAACTAAACATAACAAATACAATTCACAACAATTACGCGAATCAGATGATTTTTTTATGAATGTGAATATTACAGTCTTAGCTAAACAATAGCGAAGGTCACGCAAAAATGATAGGCATTATTATTTTTTGGTACTCAGTGTGCGATAATTTTCACTTTGAGTACACGAAACAGTAAAAAATTACGTGAATTCGTGCATAACTGAAGATTATTGTCTTGCTTCACAGATCTCCACGCTGATCGGTTGGCAGGTGAGCGACATAAACGCCTCGCGGGCGTTATCGCCGAGCTTGCAGGGCGAGCACGGTTGGCCAACAATCGCGAGGTTCGAGGTCGAGTATCGCAGCCCGTACTGGCTCGCGCCCAAAAGCTACACCGGCAATCGTCTCTCGTCCTACGGCAGCAACTTAACGTTTCTAGTCAGTTGGAAAATCATGCGAGGCGACACCAGTGACAGCCGAACTTCCGAGCCCGATGTTGTGCTCATTGTAAGACCCACGATAATTGCCTACATATTTTTTTCTGTTTCCTCTTTATCTTTGACCATACGGGCCAGGAGAACTTTCCAACCCCTGAATAATCAAGGGTTTTAGTGAAGCTTTGGAATTCATATATATATGTTTGATGAAAGTTACAAACAATCGGGAATGTACCGATTATATTACAATCGCTCGTTTGACATGTACAGCAACATCGTTGTAGAAAATCGCATACGTAATTCGTGCTGACAATTCCCATACTTGTGCAATAGACTCGCGCTTGCGGCTGGTAACTCCTGCCTGCGCTCCTGTGAATCCATCACCAATTCAAATTGTCTTTACAGCACTCGTTGTGCAAATAACTATTTTTTTTCCGCACTAGTGTATGAATTCCAAAGTTTCAACCAAATCTATGAGCCGCAACTGAAAGGTTCTTCTGTCGAATATCAATGCCAATGTTTGAGATCATACGAACACTTACGATTTCGACCAAAACTCCCAAGTTGTGGTTAATTTAAAAGATCAAATTTGGTAGTGAATTCCTTGACGGTCGTGAATTGTTTTACAGGGTAAAAACGGTGTGCGAATAGCTTACGGTGACCGAGGCCATTCCGGCGAGGAAGCCGAAATCACAGTACCGCTGCTCGAGGATGGCTGGTACCACGTCAAACTACGGCCCGACATCGTGGACGGCATAACGAGATTCCGTAGAACGGACTATCGAGGCGATCCTGTCACGCGCCAACAATTCCTTGAGGTGCTAACTGATGTCGAGTACCTACTCCTGAGGGCAAAATACCATACCGAACAAAATGAGGGAAGGTAATGCGTGGCAATTCAAAGGTGGATTAATGAGTATTGTAAAAGTTGATGAATTGTTCTTTTTCTCTCGCAGCTTGAAAGCAGCCGTCTTGCCCGTCGGGGAAGTTGCCATGGAGAGTGGAAGAGGAAGTGTCGTCGAAATGTGTTCATGTCCCAGGGGCTACACGGGCTTGTCTTGTGAATTGTGTGATTGGGGATACGTCAGGGCGCCTGTCAATTCGACTGATCACAAGATTCGCCACGAATGCGTAAAGTGCGACTGCAATGGGCACGCTGCCACGTGCAATCTGTTGATGGGCGAATGCGGTGTAAGTTACGAGATTTAGTGTAATTGGGGTACACTGACTGCAAGGTGACTCGCGTCGGAATTACTAACGATGTTTCTAGTTCAAAAAAGAACTGTTCAATACGATAACACCTATATGGTATCGATGCTGACTGAGAAAAACCCTGACTAATGAGCAGCCAGAGTGCATAGATATGACGGGATTTTTTATTTTGTAAACGCGACTAATTGCGCTTTTTGAAAAATTAGGGATTCCCAACTAAAGTGATATGCGTTTCATGTAGAACCGTATGTTGACAACGTACATTTTTACCTTATCGACTGTAGTATACAACTGGCTGCAACACTGCCAGACCATGATAATAGTTGTGCCTTTTTACCGCGACTATCGATAGTTCTTTTGTTAAAAATAGAAAACAATTTTGTACTCCTTTGCGACTCGTTGTATACCTATGTTGGAATCCACACTTATTCCAAAATTAAGTAAAAGTGTTTAAACTATCACCAAATTTTTTTTATATTATCAAATGTTTATACTTTTGGCTAATTGTAATACTACTTTGATGCGTTTCCAAGCCATAATCATACGTTTGAAATTACTAATTAAACCTTGAAAAGAAACATTGTAAACATTTTCTAGTAATCATCTGAATTTTCGTCATCGTTTCCTTTAAAGTAGCGATTGTTTCTCCACAATCATCATAAGCTTGTTATAATATACCTGATGACTTTTAAAGCATTTATATTAAACAATTCCTTAAGTAATCCTTCCATTTTCATTTATTTTAGCCTTGCGAGTACAACACAGTTGGACCAAAGTGCGATCGCTGTGCCGTGGGATACTACGGCGATGCGACCCGGGGAACATCTCGAGACTGTTTCAAGTGTGCCTGTCCGTTGGACAGCCCAACCAACAACTTCAGTCCAAATTGTCAAGTTGACAATCCACACGATATAGACAGCGGTTACGTGTGCACTCAGTGTCCACTTGGATACACCGGTGATCACTGCGAGAGGTACTTATCAACTGTCGCCTCAAAACAATTCAAACTGTTTGAACAAATCTCAAAATTTCAAATAAAAATCCAACGGATGTGCTCGTTTTGATTCTGAACTGTGCCCAAATTCTAAATATGACTACTATAAGCAATGAATTTCTGTTACAGTTGCGACGTTGGTTTTTATGGGAATCCCCTCGAGCCGGGTAACAGTTGCAAGCCCTGTCCGTGCTTTGGCAGCCCTTGCGATCAAAAAACCGGTAGGTGCTTGGACTGCCGAGGAAACACGGAAGGCTGGCAATGCGAAAGATGCAAGGAGGCCCACTACGGCGACCCCACCGAGTTCAATTGTCTCCGTGAGTACTCGAATTCGCACAATCTTCTTATTCATTGTTTAAAAAAAAATCGTTATAAAATATAACGTTTACGATATGCTTCAAACAGCTTGTGCCTGTGATCCGCTCGGCAGCACCTCCCATTTGTGCGATTTGCGGAGCGGCCAGTGCATCTGTCGGCCGCTGCACGAGGGTCGCGACTGCTCCCTTTGCATCGAGGGATTCGGCAACGTGACGGCGGGTTGCGTCGAGTGCGATTGCGGTATCGGAGCGGCGGACAACAACTGCGATCCCCGCAGCGGGCTTTGTAGCTGCAATTCAGGCGTCGTCGGGTCCAAGTGCGATGCCTGTGACGTTGACCATTTCGGGTTGTCTTTTGACGGCTGTACAGGTGAGTCTGAAACGAAGTGCTTCCATGAAAGCTTTTTCAACAAATCCATTCGAAATTAACTTCAAATAGTGGGAGTATTACATTGGAATCGGTACATTTCTTAGAGGATTATCGAATTGGTACCTTATTTCTTCCAAGCGACGATATGCTACAATTTAGCGCAATCAGATTAGATTATAGTTGAATTACCACTATTTCGATCTAACAACCTTGTAAGATATGAGATCTTCTAACGTCATAATTGTATAGCGCAAGTTTTTAAATTTCAGCCCCAATTAAATTAAAAAACTTCATGACACAAGCTTTTGAATCCGTGCACTTTTTATTACATTGTCCATAATCTTTATTGTAATCTGAATATTTATATTAGATTCATCATAACTGAGTTCGAACTATAACTTAGTAACTCAGTGACTATCCATTTTAGGACCAGTATATGCTTACAAAAAAAAATCAATTCACAAAATGATTCCATCAAAAATAAAACATACAAAAAGTTTTCTCAAGTACTTTCAACAAGCCTTTTTTTTATTGTTAGGCAGCCTTGGACTTTCGCGATTTCATTAGAAAGAATATGATTTAAATAACCTGCTCCTAGTTTTTGTAGCATGTGGCTCGACTTTTAGCCTAAAAAAGCTAAAACTTTTGGTGAAAAAATAAAAATGCCTCATAAGACCAATGCTAAAATTTCGAATTTTGAATGTATTTTTATTTTTTATTTTTGGTCGACAACTTGTGCTCTAGAATTTGAATTGTACAGATTTTTATTTGGGTGCAATGACTCGACTTTCAAAAAGGTGATGAGCCACCTTAATCCACCGTACGTACGTACCATATTCTTCCTTTTCAAACAATCTTTAATTCAAATCCAAAAATCCCAATCCAGCTTAGCTCTAAACAAGCTAGGTACATAGACTCAGGTATCATAATAGATTGTTTTCCAAGAACAACCGATGCTCCACGTGGATACATAAGTAGGTACGCCCATGATACTCCCGGGCTCGAAAAATCGGCCTCCCAAGATCATAATGACAAAGCCAACCACGTCAAAGGTATATCACACGCGCGGCACTGCCGCAGATAGGCATCGACACGTGCACCCATGAAAGTATGTAATCTCTAATAAGCGCGCGCTTGCCCGTCTAGAATTTCACTGTTTCTGGGGCACGTTGTTTCCTTCAGATAATACGGACACGTAACATATCGCTTATACTTAATATCCGTATGCAAGGGGTTGCCGAGTAATAGTAAGAGCTGAACCGTAACACGGCAACTTTAATTGACAAATGAAACAAATTCAGCGCTTCGGTTGGCAAAAAAAAAAAAGGCTAATTTGATAAGTACAATAATCTGCGTGACGATAGGAAACAGATAGAGAAGCCGAGAGTTGAACTCGTTAAGTCTCAATTGTGCAAGAAAGTGCGCCGCCCCACGTAATACTTACAAGCGAAAAAGCCACGGGGTGGTAGTATTAATTGAATATGCACACGAACTCCAACGATACAGCTCTGGTTTCGAAGCTGCTTTTGGACCTGGCGTGATTATCGTACGTGATATGTATAAAAAAAAAACTCTGATACCAATCACAATTGATTATGTCAAGATCGGGTATTTGCAGCCGCCGTAGAGATAATGATTGTCCTTATGGTCTGAGCGTCGTTCAGATCTAATTCCCTGGAATATTAGAAGCGTGGAATCGACGGTAGAACACGGCCAAGGACGTATTGTATTTCTTGCATTGAAAGCCATAAGCCTGTCAACGTGAGATAATGCAATTTTATCGTTCGTATTTTTAGAGCAATCCTATCTAACCACACAAATGGACAACACCCTTGCTTTCCTCTCCAAACCCAAACGAATCGGTAAAAGGGTATCTACTTTATACGTAGATAGAGAACAAAAAAAAAACGTATCCATTCCGATGAGATGAAAATTGAACTATATCCCACGAGCGTTTGTGAAAAAAGGAAGGCCCTCGCGTGCATGTACGTAATGGCGGTCGTTCGACAATAAATCGCCAAGGAAGCGAAAGAAGGCACAGGGAGGGAGAGCAAACCGTGTGCATGGCTGAGTGGCACGGCAGGCCGCCGGTAATGAAAGGCCGCGCGCGAGAGATGCACGATTGAATCTCGTAGATGCGATTTGATGTCGGGCTCTCTCTCTCTCTCCGCTAACGGGCTGTATGGTGGTACTGCAGCCGAGGACGCGGAGAAGCAGAGTCAAATGTATAACGGTTGTGGATATAATACGTATGATAGGCGGACACGTCGAGCTGGATTATGAGGGGTTGGGCGGGCGAGGGTTATGCATATACCGCGTGGAGACTGGCGATAATGCCGATATGACGAGGACGATGACGAGAGGAGGTGCTGATTGGTTATCTGATTTCGGCTCGTGGGAGTAGTGTGGGAGGGAGACAATTTTTCGATACAATATTACACGTAGGATTGACTAGTTTTTTTTTTCAGGAAAATGGTTTGTCTCTTGGAATTAAGGATTGATAGTGAAAGTTATCGAGCGTCATTGAGTTTCGTTAACGAAATTCATCATCGACCATTACAAGCATGTGGGATTCAGACAGTCTATAAATATTCTTTGGGTGTTCATGTACTACAACATGAATTTCAATTGTGTAATTTATACCACGAAAATGCTTTGAAATGTACAGACTCTAATTAAATACCGATGCGTTTATTATTTATGATAGTATCTAGCTTGTAATTTTTAATTAAGGATTATACTTGTGTTTTGTTGCAGGTGAGTTCACCAGTGATGCTCGATAAGCTTCGCTTTTGTAAGTAACATAATGATGCTCTACTCATGTATTCTGATCATACTCCTCGAATACCATTGTTACCTGAGACTCTTGTGGCAAGGAATACGTAAGATCCTTTATACCACTTCAGATTAAACATAATTAGTGTAAGCTACAAAGGACCACAAAGATGTTAACAATAATCCTGCCAAGATCCAGTGATTTTCGAGTTATTAATTCCAAACTCATTCGAAATTTCACTTCGTTACATCACATTGCCCCCTAAATACTTATAAAACACTGTAATCTTCAAATGTAGCTGATAAACTCTTTATAAAGCATCCATCCTGCGAATTGATATTACGTTTGTATGTGTTGATCAGTTTAAGAAACAAAACATCACAATGATGTTAAAATGAAGTCAAAGAATTCCAGTCTTCAAATCCCTAAACCACAAACGAAGTAATGCAAACGGAACTAAATTTATGATAGAAAACAAGTCTCATAAGTCTAAAGACACTTTCTTTATTTACTTGTCAGATTCTATTTTAAAAATTTTATTTAAACCAATCCACATAAATTTTCTTCCAACTTTGCACGTAGACCATTGCTGTAATTTGAACGGTTTGCTCAATAATTTCAAAGGGGTATGTAAGAAATAATATGAATAATTGTAAACACAACGATACTTCTAGAAATATTGTAGACGATTACGGGCGCAGTGAGAAAAGTAAAATAGATCCTCACGAGAATCCATACGCGAATTGTATGCTCTATGTGAATGGGATACCTATATGTTATAGGTCCCAAGCAGCACAAGTCCCTCCTACTTCTATGTTGTCGGTTTATTAACGAGTAGAATAACAATAAAGGCCAGACAAGTTCCGCGAGGCTTATCTGCAATCGACCCGTGGAGGGAACATACATCGCGAGCTTGTTCGTTGGTAGGTATATAAGCTAGATCGTGTTTGCCCATCGCAAGAGAGGGAGAGAAAAAGCTAGCTAGCTAGCTAGCTGGCTTCTCCAGATTGAAACTATAGCTGTAGAAAATTTTTTTTTTATATATAAACATCATATTCTATAGAGCGCTAGTTATATGTTTTTTGGTTGAAAAATTAGGACTGGTTTTTTTTTTTTTTTTTTTTTTTTTTTTTTTTTTTTTTTTTTTTTTTTTTTTTTTGATAAGGGCTAGAATAAAGAGGTTTGTTTTCTATTGACTAAAAATGCATAGAAGTCCGAGCATTATCATTAAAATTAAAATTTGTGTGGCTGTTCCACACGAAATTCTAAGAAAATTATATCTATACTCTATTGTAATTGTATGAGCACTTTAAAAGTATGAAAGGAAGATAAAATGTTTTCAAAGCAAGTAACAAAAACGTGTTAATGTCACGAAATAAATGTCACAATGCGTTACTATACCTGATTGCTTTTTTTAAAATAAATACTTCAATTTAAAATCGTACATGCATACACTTGAACTTTAACAAACAATACATTCGTGAACTAATACATTTTCTTAGTTTCTCAATAGAAAACTTGATCAAAACAATGTCTTAACATTTTTACCTTTTAACTAACAAATACATCTATTAAAATAGTAAAAATTTCTGAAAAGCAGAAAACTTTAGTAGTGTTTCTCTTCTAGGGACAGACTGACGTACTACAATTTTTTATGAAATTATTGCTCGAGTTTCAGAATGAGTGTCTTTTAATAAATTTTACATTAGGTGGTCTTAAAAACAATGATTTACTTTTTCTTTTCTCAACAACAATCTAATAATGTTGAGCTTTGATTTTTATGCGTATTCTAAGTAGTTTTGAAAATTTCTACGAGATCAGTAGAAGTACAAGCAAGTCTCCTGAACAGTTATCCAAATTTATCTGCATGTCGGTGATAATTAGAAATTATTGTATGTTCTCACAAGAAAATTTATCAGGTCTATCAGGAAAATGATTGGAGAAATCGGCCACCCCACATTCCCGAGCTTCAACCAATTTTATCTTCATTAATGTTCATCTGTCGACATAAAAAAAAAAAAACAGAATTACATGTTTAATATTATTATTATATAATCTGCTTAAAAAACTAATTAAGAATGAAAAAGTTACAATGGACGCTCGATGGTAATGATTATAGTCACGTTTGTGTCGCGCCAGAGCGATGGATTCGGAAAAAGATTCATGGCAGATGTCACACCTAAAGTGGGTGGCACTCCAGTGGAACAAAACCTCTTCGTATGAG